AATTGATTTTCTTTGGTTCAGTTTCTTCATCTTAAAATTTACTTACTCTTTCTTTGTTTCTTCTCAGAGTTTAATTACCACACACTTCCAGCAGGCAGCAATTTTGTATCCACTTCCAATTTTGAGCATTTAAAAGAAAAAAAGAAAAACAAAGCTAGGAAGCGAAATAAGGTATGTAATATTAAATGCTTCTTAATCCAATATTTGTTTTTTTTTTATTACTATTATTTTATGTTTTCAGTTATGAAAAATATATTGAAAATCCAAGTGTTCCTAGTTCTATTTTTCAAATACTTTTCAGATCTTTATTCTTTTAGATTGAAAATATATTTACCATATTAACTAAAATAATGTTAACAAAACAAAAATTAAATAAATAAAGTTACAGAGTATGGAATTAGTGAAGGATTAATGCTTTGTGTCCACCAAATCCTTAAACTAAGGACCCACTTAATATAATTGTTTTTGTTTTTGTTTTCATTTTTTTACTTCTAGTAACTAATACCACATGTTAATAATTTATTACTATTTTTTATTTTTCGTTGTTGAATTGCCCTGTCTACTAAACATAGCTTAATTAACCCTAAATTTACAGAAAACTGGATCATTCAATGGACTTCTTATCTATTGCTGGATGTGCTTTTTTAACTGTTGCTTTTGAGGAGCTGTTTAAGAAGTTGAAGTTCAGCATATCACTCAATTTGCAGAAGCAGGTCCTTAATAAGTTGCAAAACTGGGAGAGCTTATTGCCGAAAATCTTTGCCCTTCTTGAAGATGCAGAAGAAAAGCAGATGTCTAATTCCAGCGAGTTGATAAGGATATGGCTCGCTGAAATTAGGGACTTGGCTTATGATATAGAGGACATCTTAGATGAATTTCAAGTTGATTCTCAGAGAAGCAGTTTGAATATTTCAAAACCTCACCAAGCCAGCAGTAGCAAATTCATCCCCTCATGCTTCAACTGTTTCAAACAGAGTGATTTGTTGATCTCTAATCCCCATACCATTTCTAAGGTGGATGGCATCACCCTCAAGTTGCAAAGCTTGGTAGATGAATCGAAGTTACTTGGCTTGGTAAGGCAAGTTGGAGATAAGCCTAGTGGAATGG